TGCCCTGATGAAGGAATTTTTTTTTACTCGATGGATAAAAGCAGTGACGTGGCAACTCACATTACTAAGCTGGAAAGTATAATATGCAGACTTAAGGCATTGGGAGCAGAAGTCACTGATTCAATGTTGATCTCCAAAATTTTAACCTGCCTACCAGATACGTATAAAACGTTTGCTATTGCGTGGGAATCGACACCCACAGAGGAACAAACGGTAGAAAATTTGACTGCGAGATTACTTATGAAAGAAAACGGAAACGGAACAAAAAAAAGAAGATACTGTAGCGTTCAAAACCTCCGAGCAAAGATGTTTTAAATGTAATATTGCGGGACATACTGCGAAAGTATGCAGAAAGAGAAGCACGGAAAGTAGTAAAAACGATAAGCGATGTTTCACGTGCAATAAATTTGGCCATATTTCGAGAGAATGTCCGAAAAACTCAAAAGAGAAAATGTACTGCAAGATTTGTAAGAAGAACAATCATCGTAAAAAGGATTGCTATTTCCGGGATAAAACTACAAAGAAGAATGAAGAAATGGAGAAGGTTTCATTTTTAGTGCAAAACAAGTCAGAAGGAAAATGGATCATGGATTCGGGAACGATTTCGCACATGGTAAACGATAAAAAGTGCCTAACGGACTTGGAGAAAGAGAAATCGACTGTCGGTGTAGCAAAAGTAGACGAGTCGATGACATCGATAGGAAGAGGATCGGTAATATCGGATACCTGCATTTTGAAAGATGTGATGTACGTTCCAGAATTAAGTACAAACTTGCTGTCGATAAGTGCCATAACAAGGAATAGAGGTAAGGTGTTGTTTACAGAAAACGAGGTAATAGTAAAGAAGGAAGATAAAGAAGTTATGAGAGGAATCAAAGGAAGGAATGGACTGTTTGAAGTGAACTTATCAACAGATATTGAGAAGAATTTGCATAGAGCAATAAAAATACAATCTGCTGAAAACTGGCATCGAAGACTTGGACACCTGAGCGTCGACGGGATGAGAAGTCTCATGCATAAATCGAAAGGCTTGAATATTACGGAGAAAATGCTGAAACAGATGGAAACGACGTGCGAGACATGCTTGAAAGCCAAACAGACTAGACTACCATTTGGTGAAGAAAGAGAACGTGCAAGAAGACCACTGGAAATATTACATACTGATGTGTGTGACCCCGTGGAAGTACCTATATGGAACGGCACGCGGTACATGTTTACGATACTGGATGACTATACACACTTCACCGTAATATATCTTCTGAAAAATAAACACAAAGTGTACGAACTAATAAAAGAATATGTGGAACAGGTTGAAGTAAAATGGAAATCTAGAGTAGTAAAACTGAGATGTGATAATAGACGTGAATACTGCAACGAAAACATGAAAGTTTGGAATAAAAAGAAAAGAATTTCGCTGGATTTTACGGTACCGTATACACCTCAATTGAATGGAAAAGCCGAACGTCTGAATCAAACATTAATGGAGAAACAGATAATAATCCTTAAGGTTCGCCAGTAATAATTAATAAAAATCTTTCCTCAATGGTAAAAGTCGACCAAACTGGCAATCATTTATTATAAATAATTAGTTAAACTACAACGTTTCAGCTGTCATTACAGCCCTTTTCAGGTAAATCTATAAAAAGTTACATAAAAATAATTATAATTTTAATACATTTCATCGCAACAAATAATTATAAATTTATATACAAAAATATGTTACATACCAAACGTAAATGCATAATAAATTAATACAGTAAATCAAATTCACTGCATACCACCGACAATGTATTAAAATTATAATTATTTTTATGTAACTTTTTATAGATTTACTTGAAAAGGGCTGTAATGACAGCCGAAACGTTGTATTTTAACTAATTATTTATAATAAATGATTGCCAGTTTGCTCGACTTTTACCATTGAGGAAAGATTTTTATTAATGAAGAAAGTCAGAGTTTTAATTACAGAATCCAAAATGAAAAAAGAAATGTGGGTGAAGCGGCATATACAGCAACGTATTTACTAAATAGAAGTCCAACAAAAACACTAAGTGTGACGCCGTACAAAAAATGGAATGGAAAAAATCAAACCTGAGCAACTTAAGGTTATTTGGATCTACAGCGTATGCAAAGAATTTGGGGCAGTTGAGAAAACTTGATGATCAGAGTAAAAAGTATATATTAGTGAGATATGCTCCAAATGACTATAGGTTATGGGACTCGGCAAAAAGAAAAATCGCCATAGCACGTGATGTCAAAATTGAAGAAAATACAAAAGCAAATATGAAAGACAGAGAGAACAAAACACGAAATTTGAAATTAAAATTTTTGGAAGAAGAAAACGAAGAGAAATTCCCTGAAGAAGAAATGGACAAAAAGAAATTGCCAAAAGAAGAAGACGTCAAAGAGGAAGAAATTGAAGAAGAGGACTTGCAAGGACAGTACTCATCCAGTGAACAAGATGCACAAGAAAAAGAAGAAAGTGATGGAGAAGAATTTAAAAATACCATCAAAGTACGAAAATCAACCAGGACAAAGAAATCGCCGCAGAGATACGGAGAGTGTGCAAATTTAACATACAAACAAGCGATCACAGGACACAAGTGGAAAAAAGTCATTGAAGAAGAAAAGAAGTCGTTAAAGAAAAATAAAACATGGAGATTAGTTGACCGAACGGAAGCAGCAGGAAGAAAAATCCTAAGTTCGATGTGGATATTTAAAATACATAGAATGGTATAAATAAAGCGAGACTGGTCGTTCGAGGTTGTGAGCAAAAATGTGGAATAGATTTTAACGAAACATTCAGTCCTATAGTAGATAGCAGTTCGCTCAGAATACTGTTTGCATTGGCAGTAAAAAGGAATTATCATTTAGTCACATTTGACATAAAAACCGTGTTCTTAAATGGAGAATTGGACGAAGACATTTACATGTACCCACCGAAAGGATACAATTATGGCAATAGAATTTGCAAACTACAAAAAGCACTGTATAGTTTGAAACAGGCCCCGTTCAAATGGAATCAACGATTCTCAGCTTTTCTCAATAAAAAAAATTTAGAACCTCTAAAAACCGAACAATGTATTTACACAAAGAAAGACAGAACAATTATTCTCGGCTTTTATGTAGACAATGGAATACTACTTGGAAAAAATCAAGATGAAATAGATCAACTAATTAAAGAATTGAAAAAAGAATTTGAAATTACAGTTTACAAGAATCCGAAATCCTTTCTAGGAATAGAAATTGAGCACACATTTAATGAAGTAAAATTAACACAGAAAAATTACTCCAGAAGAATCTTAGAGAAATTTAAAATGTGTGCGTGCGTGCGTGCGTGCGTGCGTGCGTGTGTGTGTGTATGTGTGTGAATGACTCAAAGCCTGTAAAAACACCAATAGTAAAAGAAGAAGAATCATCTCACAATCAGACGAAAGAGATGAAGTATCCGTAGAGAAGCGATTGGAAGTCTACTGTACCTGACAACTAAAACGCGACCAGATTTGGCACAAGCAACGAACTTCTGTAGCAGATACGTCAGTAATCTTTCCGGTCAAAGAATAACGTATGTGAAGCGTATGTTTAGATACTTAAACGGCACGATTGGACAAGGAATTTGTTTCAACAAACAAGGAAGCGATGAAGAAATAACAGCGTTCTGTGATTCTGACTATGCCGGGAATCCGGAAACCAGAAAGAGCACTACAGATTACGCGATGCTGTTTTGCGGTGGACCAATCAGCTGGTGCTCAAGAAAACAACCAGTTGTTACAGTTTCGAGTACTGAAGCCGAATACACAGCAGCTGCCGAGTGCTGCAAGGAACTGATATACATAAAATCCTTAATAGAAGAGACCGGAAAATCAATAACAGCAAACCCGAAAGTGGACAATCAAAGCGCGATTCAACTAATGAAAAACGGTGTAATTAATCGTAGGTCTAAACACATTGATGTTAAATACTATTTTGTGCGCGAAAAGATTAAAGAAAAATTGATTAACGTAGAGTGTTGTCCGAGTGAAAAACAGTTAGCCGATCTGTTTACAAAACCATTGGGAGAAATAAAATTTAACTATCATAAAAATAAATTAGTTTATTAAGAACTCTGTTGTGTGATTACTACTGATTATTTTAAAATTATTAGGTAAAAAGGAAATTTATTGACTATGTTAAAAAACCAAAGTAAGTATAAAAATGCAATATTATTTTACGATGTTATTTGATTCTAAGTTCTCTGATTATGTTCTAATGTTTTTTTGATATATTTTTGTTTTTTTGTGATAAAAGAAAATAAACAAGCGAGGACGCTCTATACTTGTCAAAATTAAGGAAGAATATTGGAAAATCAATCGATAAATCTGTTTTATCTCATAAATGGTAATTTAGTACCAGCCCAGACAGCACACAATGTCCAGTGGACGTCCAGTTTTGGTTTTTATTTGGTACAAACGTCCATGGACTTAATACGAACGTTTTAAGAATATCCATTATTGGATGTTCAAAGTATATTTATATTTGGACGTTTTAAAAATGTTTATTTTATGCATATATGTAAAGAATTCTTATCGATAAAAATAATTTCGTGTAAAATAGTTATAAACCCTTTTTTTCAGCAAACAGAATATAAATATTATATAACATAAGGAAATAATAAACGCAATATAACGGATCGTAGTTATGCGTAGATGAAATAATTTTTTTTCATATATACGCAATATAACTCAGCATACATGTTCCAAAGACGTTCAGAGAATATCTAGAATATCCTTTGGATGTTCTCTGAACGTCTTCGATATACTTCGATCATATATAGAGTCTGTTATAAAGGCTGTGTGTTCTGAAATTTAAAGTTAGTGTTGGGTATCAATTGTGTAACTTTTTTTAAAGTAAAAAATTTTCGGCAATCACGCATTGATTTTAAAATAAAATTAATGTGTGATTGGAAGAAATTTTTCACTTTTCACCTTTTCACTTTGGAAAAAGTTACACAATCGATAGTTTATACGTTACGTATATATTTATAAATTTTTAGCAGTATTGACAGTGAATTTTGAAACACAGCCAAAATTTACCTAGTGACAGTGATTATCGTGTGAGCACTCACTTGTTCGATGTTTTCTAAACGTATATTACGTGACTGTGATATTCAACTTTTTTCGTCCTTCCCGCCTTGGCTTCGCTATCTCCGAAGGCTGTGCATACATACTCGAAGGTAATCCTTATTTATTTCATTATTAAATTCATAAATCAACTCTATAAAGTTATAAATAAATTAGCTTACATATTTATTCGTGTACTTTTCATAATATTTTCCTTGTATTTGTTGGTTCTTGTAAATTTGCAGCCTTCCGAAAAATAGTAATAAGGTTAAGGTGACAAAATTCCAAATAAAATAAAAAATATAATTAAACTTAAGGCACATAATTTCATATAATATTCAGAATAGCATTATTAGACTTCTTTAATTGTTTTTAATAATTATTACGTTGATTTTTACGAAAATTATGCTAATTGTGAATTTAGTCCATTAAAACAAAGTTATAACTTCCTCTATGTACCTTGTACCTATAAAATTTATGGCTAATTATAATTTTACTATTTCTTTATTAAGATTTTAATATGATCTTTAATATAAAAAATGTATGTGTATAGTGGACGTAAAGAAATAATGTTACGCACCGTTAAACATCTAACACATTTTATTTAGTCTTGAAGTCATCGATACTCAAGTCGATACTCAACATTGAATGTAAAGTAAAATATAATTATATATTTATTATATATATAATTATATTTTACCTCACATTCAATGTTGAGTACCAATTTGAGTATCGATGACTTCAAGACTAAATAAAATGTGTTAGATGTTTAATGTTGCATAACATTATTTCTTTACTTCCACTATACACATACATTTTTCTATCACATCTTTTTCTTGCAATTTAATCAAATTTTATATTTCAGAGTATCTGTTATGTATACAGTGGAAGCAGAGGAATAAACAGACTTTACATAACATTAAACATCTAACACATCATTGTGTTCGGGAAAGTCGACATTTCACATTGGCACTCAATATTGAAGATAAGGTAAGATATAATTTCCAATTATCTGTTATGCATATAGTGGAAGTAAAGAAATAATATTACACCACGTTTAACATCTAACACATTTCATTTTGTCTGGAAGTCATCGATACTCAAATTGATACTCAACATTGAATGTAAAGTAAAATATAATTATATGTTTGTTATATATATAATTATATTTTATCTTACATTCAATGCTGAATACCAACTTGAGTATCGATGACTTAAAGACTAAATAAAATGTGTTAGATGTTTAATGTTGCGTAACATTATTTCTTTACTTCCACTATACACATACATTGTTTATACTATATCAAGATGACAAATTTTCTAATATTAAAATAATAAAAGCTTAATTGTATATTTTATAACTTTTTCTATTGTTGAGCGACTTTAGTGAATTTAGTTTTTCTACAATTTAATTTTTCTACAAACAAAAATACCTCATAAATATTATTTGATTAAAATTTGAGAGAAGTAATTTGTAACAAGTATCTTTTATTTCATTAGTAGACAAAATTTTAAATTTTAAAACTTAAAAATGTTTTGGTTGTATTAAATTTAATTAGAAATTACAAAATTAACCGTAAAATAATTTTTTATATAAATTTGGATATTATATTTGGTTTTGTGAATCTTTTATTCAATCAACTTTTATTTTTCATCTGAAGACTTTCATAATGTCTGAAATTAAGAAGCATTATATGAGAGCAAAGAGAATGCGTTTTCAAGAAGAAGTCTTTTCTAATCCTGAGCTTGATTCTGAGTCCGATCCTGAACCTGATCCTGAGCCTAATCTTCCTAACATAACTACAGAAAGATTCTCTGAACCACTAAATATAAGTATCTTACCAAATATAAATATCTCCACTAATGACGCACAATTAGAACTTTTAGAAAATAACAATTATTTAGAATCAGATTTGTTTTTACATGAGTCTATTTATGAATCCGATCAATCAAATGAAAACTTTCCACCTTCCTTCCACTCACCCTCAGATTCAGTCGATCTTGATGTACATAAGTATTTTCCTCATGACAATAGTAAAAAAAATAATCCAGAAGAGAACATACAATTAAAATTTATCCAGTGGTCATTGACAGTATTACATTCTAGAAAAGTTTATCTAAAAATTTCAAACAAAAATATAAAAAAAAATGTAAATGTTTCCTATTTTTTTAAATTGCATAAATTAAATAATTTTGTTTCATTTTATGTTAAATAGGTGCCTCTAAAATAGGAGGATATTGTCAAACAACTAAAGAAGCAGAAAAACTATTCAAGGATGGTTGAGAAGAGCTGCTGAAAGAGGAAAACTGAGACAATAAATTTAAAATACATCTTATATTCTGTATTTGCAAAGGATGATGAGACAAGAGATGATAATAATGATGATACGAAATCTCGTCGGATAGTAACATCCAGATCACCATACAGCACTACCACAATACAAAGTGCCTAAGCAATATGCAGCTGTTGTAATAGGAAGAGGTGGTTCAGTGATCAAAAACATACAAGATAAAAGTGGCACACATATTAATATGAGTAAAGATGATATAGAATCTCCGTATCGTCTCTGTGTTATACAAGGAAAAGAAATGGAAGACATTCGTTTAGCAGAGTCAATGATCAAAAATATAAAGGAAATCAGCCTATCATTGAGATCTATGAATTGTTAGTGCCATTCGAACCTTGTGGAATAATCTTAAGAAAAAGTGCAATACTCTCTCTCTCTCCTCTCTCTCTCCTCTCTCTCTCCTCTCTCTCTCTCTCTTCTCTCTCTCTCTCTCTCTCTCCATCTCTCTCTCTCTCTCTCCTCTCTCTCTCCTCTCATCTCTCTCATTCTCTACTCTCCTCTCTCTCTCTCTCTCTCTCTCTCCCCTCTCTCTCTCGCCTCTCATCTCTCTCAACCTCTCCTCTCTCTCTCTTTCTCATCTCTCTGATTCGATCTCACCTCTCTCTCCTCTTCGCTCAATCCTCACTCCTCTCTCTCTCTCTCGTCGTCTTCTCCATCCTTCTCCTCTCGCTCTCTCCCTGCCCGTGTCAAATCTCGTCCCTCTCCCTCCAGATCACTCCCTCTCTCTCTCCTACTCTCCCCTCTCCAATAGCCCAGTCCGGTCTCTGAATCCTCTCCCCTTTTCTTCGTCAAAGGTTTTCTTGTTCCAGATGATATAGACTCTCTCTCCTCTCCTCTCCTCTGAATCTTCCTTCTCTCGAGTCTATCCCTCTCCTTGGGATTCGCCTCTCAATCTCGACTTTTCGTCTCCTCATTCCAGTCTTTCTCTCGTCCTCGGTCCTCTCCTCTCTCGTTCTCTCCTCCTCCTCCCTCCACTCCCTCTCCGTCTCCCCCTCTTTGTTCTCCTTTCTTCTCATCTCTCTCTCTCTCTCTCCTCTCTCCGTCTCCGCCCCTCCTCTCTCTTCTCCTCCTCGCCGATTTCTTCCCTCCTCCTCCGCCTCTCCGCTCCCTCCGCTCCTCTCCCCCTCTCCTTTCCCTCTCCTCTCCCTCTCCTGTCTCCTCTGCCTCTCCTCTTCTCTCCCTTCCCTCTCCTCCGCTCCTCCCTCCCTCCCTCCCCCTCCCTTCCCGCTGCTTGTGTCCCCCTGGGTCCCTCCTCTTCGCTCCTCCTTCCTCTTCCCTTCCCTCTCCCTTTTCCCTTTTCCTCTCTCTCCTTTTTCCCTCCTTTCTTTCTCTTTCCCCTTCCCAGCCCTTTCCTATCCCTTTCCCGTCTGCCTTTCCCTCTCTGGGCTTTCCTCTTCTTCGTCTCTTTTCCTTCTCTCCCTCCCCTCTCTGTTCCTCTCCTCTTCTTCGTCCTTTTCCTCTCTCCCTCTCCCTCTCTCTTTTCCTCTTATCTTTCTCTCCCTCTCTCCTCTCTCCCTTTCTCTCTCTTTCTTCCCTTCTCTTTTTCTTTCTTTCTAATACGAAATATTGCATTATTTTTTGAGAACATAATATATCATATAAAAATGTTATAATTATTTTTGTTCATTGACTGAATGTTATAGGAGCACACAAACGATTTCTTTCTTTCTAGTACAAAATGTTTTGTTATACTTTATTACTTTTTGTGTGAGATGAACAATAATCATATTATTTTTTCACTATAAATACTTTTAAAGAAAGTAATATATCATAAAATGTATAAGTACTTTTAAAGAAAGTAATATATCATATATAATTATTTTTTGTTAATTATGATTAAGTGTTAGACCGGTTCTACAATAGGTAATTTATGCCCTAAACTTTAAGAAATTGATTACAGTCAAGTATGAATGGAATACTTGACTGTGATTAGTCAGTTTCTTAAAGCTTAGAGTATAAATTACCTATTGTAGACCTTATAAAAAAACAAGATTCCTCTCTTTCCAGTACAAAATGTTTGTCATGTACATTACTTTTTGAAAGAAACAAAATTCGTTTTCTTTTTCCGCAATAAATATTATTTTATTTATAATTTAAAAATGTTAAAACAATATTAAAATTATATGAGACATGATAAAAATATATAATAAATAATAAAATTTAATATATATTTAAAAGAATATTAAATTTGTTCTTTTCTTAAAGTTTAATTTTAATGCTACATTAGGAATTTAATTTGTTAGCAATTACAATATTTGTATATATATTTTATACTATATTAATAAGTTGCTAACAAGTTAACTCCAATTTGCGTTAAAAATAAACAATATTTTACCTACACCTACCTAGAGCACAATATATCCAAAAGATGTTCAGAGGACATCCAGAGGATGTTTGAATGTCCTTTGGATGTCCTCTGAACGTCTTTTGAATATATGTGCTGTTAAACCTACTATAAAAAATTTAAATAATGTTCGAAACAGGTCCAATTTTAGTCCGTTTGGTATATAAAATGGACATTTTTTAATTGTCCAAATCAGTAACACTGGACATATTTAAAATGTCTTAAAAATGTCTGAGGCTGTAATCTGGATGTTTTAAATATGTACGAAACGTCCAATATATATATATTTAGTACGTTTTTAAAACGTTATTGTGCTGTCTGGGAGTATAGAGCGCTGACTGGATGATAGAGTATAATACGTGTATGTGATGACTTATTCGGCCGGAATCTCTGTCCCGGGTAAAATGTCGAAAGATATAACTCGCAGTTGTAACAAAGTCTAAGTTACGTTATTAATTGGTTATAGAGTTGTTTAGTATTTCCGCTTAGTGTTCAAAGTTGAGTTACAATTTTTGTTATCAAACATACTTGAATGCAATATTGTAATAAACATTTTCAAGATAAAAACAGACTGCAAAATCATTGCCTGTCACGTGCTGCGCCTGAAACCTATTTTTTCACCTAAAATTCAACATATATTATATATATAATATGCACATATGTGCATAAGCATATATAAAATTTACATAAAGTGGGTGCTTATTAACCTTGCTATGCTATTGTCTTCTGCTACGGAAGGCCAGAAAGCATTTTCAGGCTATTTCGCGTATACCGGCACGTAGAGGAACAAAGATAACACGTGATTATCGGTCCTTGTCTCTCTACGGTGCGTCCGCGTGAGCAATGCAATGGTGTATGTACATAAAGAATTAGATAAATATGATAAATTAGTGAATAAGGGGTAGGGAAATAATTTTTTTTCTATAAATTAATTATAAAATTTATATATAAATAAATTTTTATAAAAAAGTATTTAAAAATTTAAATAATTTTTAATGATTTATTAATATTTAAAATAATTATTTTAATAAAAATTATAATAGATAATTTTATTTATATTATTAATAAATTTAGGTGCCAGCAATTGCGGTTAAACTGATGATAAGAATAAATAATTTTAATAATTTAAAGAATATGAAAAGGAGATTTAAAATATTTTTTTTTTATTTTATTTATATTGAAATGTAATAATTTTAGTTAATAAAAAAAATTTATTTTTAATTAAGTTTAAAAAAAAATTAGGATTAGATACCCTATTATTTAAATAAAAATAAAATTAATTAAATATTAAATGTAAAGCATTAAAAATAAAAATTTGGCAGTAATTTATTATATTAGAGGAACTTGTTGATTAATTTGATAATCCACAAATGGATTAATTTAATATAAATATTTTATATATTGTTGTTGAAAATTAAATTAAGAGATTTTAATTATAAATTTATATTATAAATTAAATTTAAATCAAAATGTAGAATTATTAAGATTTAGATGAGTTATATTGAAAAATATTTTTTTTGTAAATAATATTTAAATTTATTATTTAAAAAGGATTTAAATGTAAATTTATAAGAATTTATAAGTTAAATTATATTTAACTTATGTACAAATTTCCCGTCATTCTTATTAATTATAATTTGTAAGAAAAGTCGTAACAAAGTAAATATATTGGAAAATGTATTTAGAATAAAAAAAAATTTTAGTTTATTTAAAAATATTTCATTTACATTGAAGAGATTAATGATTTAATATGATTTATTAAAATTTAAAAAAAAATTAAATTTAAATATTTATGAAAAATTTAATATGATTTGTGTGCGTGATTATTTTAATTAAATAAAATTATAATAAAACATTAAATAGAGTTAGTTTTTGAATTGTTGAAGTATTAAAAAAAAAATTAAATAAATTATAGATATATGTAATGTAAATAAAAATTTAAAATAAATAAATTAATTAAATAAAAGTAAATTTTATTAATTGTACCTTTTGTATCAGGGATTATTAAATTTTGTTGTTTATTGAATAATTTAAATTTCTCGGAATAAAATGAGTTAAATGAAATATTAAAGTTAATGTATAAAAATTATTTTAAATATTCATTTGGAAAAGATATTTTAATCCACTTTTATGATATCTAGTTTTTTTTTATATAAATTTAATTTATATATAAATAATTTAAAATTAATTAAATTAATAATAAAATTTAATTAGTAAATTTATGTAAAAAATTTATGGGATTAACTATAAATTATAATTAAAATATTTTATGAATATAAATAGTTTAAATAGAAAAATATTTTTTATTTTAAAAATTTTTTATAAAAATTTAATAATTTATTATGGAATGGATTATTCAAATTTAAATATAAAAATAATTTGAAAATTTGATTTAATTAAATTAAAAAATATTTTAAATAAATTAAGTATTTTAATAAATAATGATAGTATAAGTATAAGTATATTTATATTAATTATATAGAAATTTTTAAATTTAAAATATATACGTATATAAGAATTAAGCAAATTTATTTTATTAAATTAAAATTTTAATTCACTTGTTTAACAAAAACAT